CACCCGCAAATCTTGTCAAGGCGTCAAACTGAACAAGTGTTTCCCCGCTCTTAGATTTCAGCGACGTGAACATATTAATCTTTTGCACACGTTTCAATATTTCGCAGCGGGTTTCTGTTTGAGGCTTTGTTTCGTTCCACTTTTTTTTTTCATCTTACGAACGGCAAATATGTTTTTCTTCAGACAATGCCATTCATGTATAGTGTCGATGTCGACGAGAGAAAATGATCCCACATCCAAAATTGAAACGGTTATGTCCTCGTGTGGTGGTGTCCGACCATACTCGCTCTGCCCTTTCAAGATGGCGTTCCTGCCAGCTGTTTGAGCTTTCAGGACGAGCTGCTCTGGAAGTACGTATCTTATATTCGTCTTCACACTCTTTGTTGTTCCCGGAGTAACCACATGTAGTTTCGGTCGTTTGAAGACGGCATCATCACGCCTGGGGCAGATTGCATTGAACATGGGGTCTTTTTGCTCCAGCGACAGTTTCTTTTGATCCACATATTCACGCAAGGTGGACAATGTGATGTCTCCGTAAGTGGTAATCTGCTGAATAAGCGCTTGGTGTCTTAAACCTCCTTTCGACGCTTGGCCTTCTTTGTAGAAGCTTTTTTCACGTGGTCTACCTACAGGTTTACTGGCCGTGTTCAACACAATGTTGACTTTGACATCGCTCGAGTCTGTCTCTGAAACGTAAATGTTTAGTCTCCGTCTAGCTCTCGCCGTTGAAGCCTGGGTGGACCGTCTTTCCTTTTCGATTTTTATCTCCATCAATAAATCGGACGCGAGAACACGTCCAGAAATTGGTTGTATTTTCAGCATCACTAGCCGAATTGGTGACATTATCACCAATATCACCACCAATATCATCACCAGTATCACACAAATTGGTGACACTGTTACCAACGTAGTTACCAATGTCCTCCGAGCTTGCGAGTTCTCCAACAATACTGGAGTCCGTGTAGGATGGCGGCATATCATTATTCACAAGTACTTCTACGACACCGATGTGTTGGTGACCCCGACACCAATGTATTGGTAAATACAAAACCCGCTCATACGACGTATCGATTGATGTTGGTCACGTAGGTCGCATCGATGCATTCAGCGTCCGGAAGCTTACGCACCATCCGTCGCATGTGGGCCGTCTGGAATGTAACGCACGATGTAAGCCCCGTAGCTTATCACGGAAGACGCTGACAGCGTTGTCACGACCCTCGCTAGAGCCTTTAAGCACTTGAGCCACGCGCACGTTGTCGTCCCCAGAAGTGTAGGTCTCCTTACGCATTTTAGCAATGAGAATCTTGACATCCTTGGTAGAACAACCTTTCCCGAGACCTCCTTGAAATAGCGCAGTATCTTCTTCTTAGAGCCACCCAAGACAATTGAAAACGGTTAGGAACAATTATAGCTAACTAGGATATAGAGACTCATTACCTTGCATCATCGTTCTGACGACACGTAGCGTGCCTGGCGAAGTAAATGTTCGGGCTTCTGCGTAGGTATAGTAGACGTCTTGACCGACGTCGTGGTTGTGGGTGGCCACGTGCTTGGTGACCCGAACTTTGTAATTATCGTTTCCTTCCTTGATAAGAGCGGCATTCAGCTTTGCAGGGCAGTCGATAGAACAGATGTTGTGGTTGGTTCTCGCTTCTTTCCCCCTGGGCTTGAATGCCCACCCGTGCGTGCCGATATACCCTGCTCGACCATCATCTCGTGTTGTGGGAGCCCCTGCTCGACCACCGTCTTGTACTGTGGGAGCCTCTGCTCAATTGCGCAAACGAATGTATGCGCAAACAGATGACACCCCGTGGTCTTGGCGTAAATGTTCCTTCAGTTGGCCCAGCGAGCCCCCCCCCCCCCTGAAAAATCCCCAGATTTAAAAAAAAATTGCGGGGAAGTTGATGTATAGCAACTTTCTATTGTCCGTTTCACTCAAATTCTCCGCCTAATAGTCGATCTTAAACAGAGCAAATAATGCGACCAGGGTAATCTTATTCTGGGACGAGGTCTTTATTATTCTGATGGAGAATTTTTCCTCACGGGACGGGGCCTTGAGTTCTCCACCCAAGAGTGTTCATTATCCGGTTGACGGCCTCCTGAGCAGTGCTTCCGCACACGCTACGACGGAGGTCAATTGAGGGGGAATGCAGCGCATGCTCATTCTATGAGGGACTGTCGCCCATATAGGTTAATTCCCCGCCGGATAATCAAAAAGTAAGTACTTGCCACTCTATCTTTATGACCTACTCGCGTTCTGACCTCCCTACGGTATGGTTGTTTTGTGCTTAATGTATATTACTGCTAATCTCTAATAATACACGCAACTTGACTCATACCCGATCGCCCATTGTTTGTGTTCCTATGGAGGGTCGCTTCCTAATCATTTGCGCTGCGAGCTGACGGTGAAAGCTGGGATATATTTTAAATTTACATAACAAACTTTGCCAGTAAAAACTTTTTTTATATTACAATTTTCTATTTTTTCTAATACGCTTTAAAAGGAGTATTTTTACCTTAATTAACAGTAACAACCAGTACAATTTGAATGTGATAAAAAAAATACTGAAAGTATAAACTTTTGTTGTGGGATTTCAGTAGATTAACACCCTTTAACTAGTACTTAAAGAAAAATTCGCCGTTCTGATACACTACTGAATCGATCTAGTACCTCATCGCGGCTGATACTGATTGTGAGGTCATTTTCTGTGCTCAGAAGTAGATCGGATAGCCATTCGTCGCCGATCTTCGTCCTTAGACGAGTTTTAACGCGTTTCATTACTGAAAATGAGCGCTCAGCGCTCGCCGTTGACACTGGTAGCGTACAGACTAGTTGAATTGCTCGATGCAGCGTAGGAAATATTGTATGTGCATCTGAAGCAAACATTGTGACACTAAGCTGATTGACGACTTGGTGTTCTCAAAGCGACTGTCATTGATTGCAAACTCACGGAAGCTGATTGCCTGACACACGACAATTCCAGCGCGTGGCACTAAAGCCTGAGTTGCAAGAGGCTGGTGTTTACATCGACCGGTTTCCAGATAACCACTGCTGATTAGTTGTTGTAGTTCGTCTTGCGCGTAGCCATACAAACTGTCTCTTCTCTTGTATGATGCACTACAAGTAGCGTGAATAGACTGAACGATGTTGAAGCATTCCGTCACAGAGACAGTCTGTTTTGATACAGTCACTACTGCAAGATTAAGGCGGTGAGCGAAGCAGTGAACGTAGTAAGCGTACGGGCAAGTATCTCGGATCAAGTTTGGTAGCCCATTATATCCACCGGACATGTTTAAGGCCCCATCGTATCCTTGGCCACGGCCCCGATAAATATTTATTCCCCAAATTGTGATATGATTTATCAACGCAGATTTAAGTGACCCAGAAGAGGTATCGCGGAGTGAACCGAACCCAGAAGCCGTTCTCGAATTTCACCAGTATGCCTGGATAAAAACCGGACTACAATAGCCATGTTTTCTTTTCCACCTTCACATGTTGCTTTATCAACTAGGGCGAAAAATACCCTTGTCCAAGTTCATTGTCCACGATATGTTCACGAACTACATCCGCCGCGCAATGAATAAGCTCCCGTTGTACTGTAGGAGATGTGTACTTGGCATTTGCGGCGGCAGAGTTTATCAAATCCGCGAAATCTGGCATTCTCTGAGCCAAAAAAGACAGCATTTCAAGAAAATTACCCCTATTGCAGGACGCATCCTGTTGAAGAATCAAATACTGTCAATTAGGACTCCGTTTAAACGATAATACTAATAACACTTACCTTCTCGTCGTTGCCTCTGAAAGCAATACCTTGTCGCGCGAGAAATAAACACACGTCTAAAATCTGACGAAGTCTTTTCCTATTTTGTTCTCGCTGGCTTGCATTGGTTCTTTCCAGAGCTATCGTAATATCACAACTTCCCCTCAGGACTTCGTAAAATGCAGCTTCAGCATTATGATGTCTAGAACAGGACTGACCAACGTGGGCGACAAAACCGTCTTTCGTCGTGGCTTTTTTCCAGTTGTGAAAGCCCAGAGCTGGACGCGCCAACAAAGATGTGTCCTTTGCTGTCATTGCTTCTCGGCTTAAGTAACACCATCTACAATACACTGCGTCTGCTTTTTCAGAATACTCCAACCACTTATATTTTTCGAACCATTTAGGCTAAAATGATCTCGAACGCTTGCCATAGGAGCGGCTCGGATAGCACGTTAGGCGGGGTCGAAATAAATTCATCTTAGAATATGCAAAAACGACTCCACGACGTAGCTTCGGATCCTCTTGCAGCTGTCCAATAGAAAAAATATTAGGAGAACGGTCCACAGGATCGCAACGGACAAAGTCGTGAACACGGCAGTCAAGTGGGTCTTCAGCGATGCCATTTTCGCGGCACCATTGAGCTGCAGATGACGATTCTAAGTCCGCACTACGTGAAATAGGTGGAGTAGTAGGCTCTGCTAGATATGAAGTTTGTATCGGATTATTAGTGCGCTCTTGTACTTCATGCGGGGACGGCCGAGGTTGCTTGGCGAAGAAGTTTGTTATTGCTTGCAGTTTCTGTCTTTTGGGCGGCATCGTGCTTCAATACGGAAGTGTGGATATAATCGTGGAAAGACTTAACCCTACTCGCTATGGCCCCCCTCTCTAATTTTGGCTGGCTTCGCCGCTGACACGCTTCATTGTCTTCCGTGACGGCATCGCTTGCTTGTGAGTGCTGGTGCGGGAAGTGTAAAGAGGGGGGGGGGTGAAACTGAGTGTCCAGCAAAATCTCTAAAATCTCAAAATGAGATACCCTTACCCCGATATCCCGGTAACCAAACCCTGGCCGTTTTCGTAGCAATCGTACTTATGAACATAGACACTTCCTTTAAAAAAGCCAGTGTGCCTTTTTTCTTGTACCACTTGGGTACGGATCAAGTTTTGTCATTTTTGCTTCCTACCGCCGTGATGCAAAAAGCGGTGTACACTGTGTTTCAACGAAAAACAAAACACGATTCATTTGTATTCGAAACACAATGGTTTTTGCTCTTCCTTGTATTAATACGTAGAGGGCTTTATACGTGGCCATTCGAAGCGTAGTGTCCATACGGCCTCGAGCTGGTCTCATGGGAATACCCGCTACTGCTGGTTGTTCCACTTGTGTAGCTCGGGTAGTTCCTACCCTCTCCTCCCGATCGGCCAATATACCCTTCTGAACTCTGATAACGCCCCGACTCGGAGCCGCTGAGGTAGTTTCGATCGTCCGGAGAACGATAATACTCTTCAGAGCTTTGATACTGTCTGGTGGAGTAATTTCCACCTGAATAGTTCCTGTCGCTGTCTCCACCTGGACGACGTGAGTAGCTTTGTGCTTCTCTGTCATCCTGGTAATACGAACTGCTGTTCTCGGCTCCAGAAGGGTAATACGGCGAAGATTCCGCTTGCTGGCGGCTATAGGACGAGTCATTGGAGTAACTTGGTTGCGTTTGGGTGTTATCGACAGCGCTGCGTCGACTCCAATACTCCTGATAAGTCTCATACTTGCCTGAGCTGCTGGGGTAGCGCTCGTAGTCACACGTGTCTCTGTCAAGGTTCATTCTACCCAAGGACGCCTCAATATTCACCCCAGTATTTGACGGATAAATGGGTGGAATAGCTTGGTGCTCAACGACTGGCTTGTTTTGTGGGCTTTTGGGTCGTTCCTTCTCGCTGTCCGAGCTAGAGCTGGAGCTGCTGGAGCTCGATCGAGATCTCGACTTAACAGGCTTGCTAGCCGGAGTTTCGGTCGGTTTGTCGCCTTGTTTCGCAAGGAAATCCTCAGCTGCCTCCTTGGCCTTATCGACGATGGACTTGTCCTTCTTCTCGACGTAGCCAGGTTGGAGTTTCTCCTCCTCCCTCTTGGCCACCTGCTTCTGCGCGTACTCGACCGCCTTGTCCTTCACGTGGTACTTGTCTACCGCTTCAATGGCCTTCGTGAAGATGGACTCGCTCTCTTTCTTATCATCCTTTTTAGTCGAGTCGCCGCCCCCTGTCAGCTTCTCGGCCGCCTCCTTTGCCTTATTGAAGAAGTCCATCGCAATGAGTTTGAGATCCTACCGGTACGTGGCAAAAAGTGAAATGGCAAGCAAATCCATTTTTGTCTCATGCGTCAAGGCCAGGACATCGTGGGTGAATTTTCTGGTGGATGGCACAAAATGCACAAACTGTATTTCCAGATTTTTGAAATTCAATTACGAATGCAAAAATTACCGTGAATTTTACGCTAATCAGTAGTTTTGCGTCCGCGATGAAGTGACCACTCGACGCGAGTATGTGCTTGACCCAATAGCTGGGTAGCTCCTGCCATAGTAATCAGCATCTTCATCACGGGATCGACTCGAATACTCTCGTGACGAGCTGTAGCTGTAGCTGTCGCTTTCTCTGTTCTCGTTAGGATAGTTACGCATTGCTGCGAAGGCAGCGTCATCAACCCGAGACGATTCGTATGTGTCGTTCTCGCGGAAGCGGTCGTACACACGTCGATCGCCACGCGAAATGTCATCAGCCCTTCCTTCAAACCGAGATGAGCTTTCCAAGGACATTTTGCTAAATGCTTCGTAGCTGACATTGTCTTCCTCGCGATACGTCGATCGATTCTCTCGGCTCGATTCAAAGTCGAGTCTCGTGTCCGCTCTACTGGAGTAGCTGACGTATTCCTCGTGGTAGCTCAACCGGCTCGCACCAAAGCCGACGCCCGTATCCGTTCGACTAGAGTAGCTAGTATCCTCCTTGCGATAGGCGTTCTCTCGGCTCGATTCAAAGCCAAGACTCGTATCATTTCTACTGCAGTAATGCACGTCTTCCTCGCGATAGCTCGAGCTGTTGTCGCGAACCGAGTCGTAGTCGAGACCTGTACCCGTTCGACTGTAGTAGCTGATGTCTTCCTCGTGATAACTTGAGCTGTTATTTCGACTGGTCAGACCCGTACCCGACCGGCCGGGGTAGCTGATGTCCTTTTCGACACGAGATGAGTAGGACGAAGACACACCCGCGTTGTTGTCGATCTCGGTCCTCTCGTAGCAGGTATTGGTAACCTCATTCTGATCGTAAGGTGGGCGATACACAGAGCTGGTAGTGTAGCTATCAGCCTCCTCTCTCACTTGCGAGTAGTTCGAGTGGGTGTTACCAGTTGATTCATACGAGTTGGAGGCCACAAACGAGTTTTGCGGGTAGGAGGATACCTCAACAGTGCGCCGTTCATAAACTGTAGAGCCGTCGCGAGAGCTCTCAGTATAGTGATCATCCCTACTCTCGTAGTTTGCGGTGGGATAGCTTGGAGTGTTGTAGTCGCTGACGCCAGGGTTAACAACACTCGTGGTTGTCGCAACAACCACAGTCGAGTAGCTTCCTGGCTCTTCGCTTGAGCGAGTGTACCTCTCACAGTCCTCGTCCGAACTAGAACTGGAACTCGAGCTTGAACTGGATCTGGACCTAGATCGAGGTGATCCTCGCTCGGCGATGAAGTCCTCTGCAGCTTCCACAGCTTTCTTCATAATAGACTTGTGTCTTGGGACGTATCCCAGTTGGTCTTCCTCCTCTTCACGTCTGGCGACTTGCTCTTGAGCGAACTCAATGGCTTTGTCTTCGAACTTCTCTGTAGATTCCATCATCTTTGTCAGCAGCGGCATGTTTGATGAACTTGGACGTGTGAATCGACTGGGGTTGTTGGAAGCAAGAAAAAAAATGAATGCACGTATCAAATAGTTCGCTGACTCAGCGCGGCTGAGGTGGGCGCTCAACGATCGTGTATGTCTCATATCATGCACGCGCGTGGGTAAACTGGGTACTGAGCTTTGATAGGTGACGAATGCACGACAGCTCCACGTGCAGAGTTACTCTGCAGATGCCTTGAGCTTAGCAGCTTGTCAACCACGTAAGAATCGGGTTTCAGCAGCTCTATTCCGGCATCCCAATAACCTTTGTAGATCGATTTTAGTGCATCGTGCCCTTTCTCTTAACCCCTTTACAGCGCTATTCTGTATTCTACAGAATACAGAATAAGAATTATGATAGGACATAATTTCCAGCAAACTTGAAATCGTCCTGATTCCTCGCATATTTGTATTTGTAAAGGGTAGAGATGGGTAGTTATCGTGAAGGATCTTCGAAGGGGAGATAGCCGGGGATAATTCGAGTCGGATAGAAAAGACAGTATAAGATGACTGGAGGTTTTGAAAAAGCAGTTTCTTGCTATTTTCTGCAGTTGTTGGTAGCCACAGGTTTCAGATAAATTCGAGAATGAACGCTCCCAACGAGAAACCGTTCAAGCAGTTATGGCGCCAGCTATCCAAGGCAGGATGTAAAGCGAGGAAGCCTAAGGGACTGAGTGCGGACTTCACGTACGTGATGCCCAGTGTGACTGGCCGCTTGGAAGCAGAGAAGCGCGGAGCTGAATACTTCGTTATTGCGTTCTGCAGACAGCTCGGTATATATACTCACAGTACTGAAAGGTATGTGCAGGCGAACAAGAACTCATGACATTTGGACGTCGTCAGGGGTTGCTGGAGCTCTCACCTTTGCCATCACTCCCAGCAAGGATCCCCATGGAAATAATGCGGCGTATGAGCTGGCCCGCCGTCGTGCGCCGGTTGAAGAAGTGCTGCCAGCGGAAGGTGAAGCGGCACCAACTTTGGAGGTGACGCCTACTCCTCCAACTCCTCCTTCGAGTCCCCCTCCGCGTACTTATGCTTCTTCACCGTCGACTCAAGCAGGTCAAGCAATTCAGCAAGATACAGAACAAGAAGGTGGGAGCACCACTACTAGTATGGAGGATCCGGAATACGATGCACGCTCGGGTCATGAGCGTGCCGACGGGTCGAAGAGTGAAAGCAACGATTTCAACGGGATTGATGAGTTTGATGGAGAGAATTTCATGGATGCGCTACGTGGGGAGAAGCTGTTCGGGTCAGTCGCGGTAGATGATGTGAATCTGTGCAATGAAGCTGAAGACGACAACGACAGTATGGTTGTGTCTTTGATGATGAGCTGGATGTACCCGTGTCGCCACGAGAGGACTACGAAAGCGAAAAAGAGTCTGACAGCGACTGTGAGGAGGACAGTGAGCTATTTGTGCAAGCCGACGAAGACATGCGGCGCTTGGGAACTTCTGGGGGGTACATTTATGACCAGCTACATTGTGGTAAGTCGGTCGTCTACAGAATAACGCTTTTGATTCTTTTCTAACTCTGTATTATATTAAAAACAGGTGATTTGATTCTTGAAGCCGCGCAGCTGTACGACGGAATCTGGGGGCCAACTAGATCTGCAGCAGCATTTGCGGAGTCCGCATTAGGAATGCTTTTCTACTTTTTTCCCAAGAAGCTCTGGTTTGAGATTCAGAAGAGACGAATCTGTATCACGAGGCTTGCATCCCGCTTGTCGCACGTCAGCATCGAGAGAAGCAGTTTTAAGCACAAGTAAAGGATCCCTAAAAGAAGGTTGACTCTGTCCAAGAGATTGAAGAGAAAATACGGCGAGTAAAACCTATCCAGGCTTACAGGCGATATTCGATACAGCGATGTGTGGCTTTCAAAAAATATTACCGCTAGTTATGCTTGGGGGTTGTTGACATGGCGATTGCCAATGGGTTCATCCTGCACAAACTCATCTTGAAGAAAAAGGGAGAACGCGTACCGACGCACGCAGAATACATGCGAAGACAGCAAACGGAGCTTTTAGCAGCAACAGAAGCCACATTGCGTGCAAACACCAACGCAGAGGACTTCATTACGGAGCCAATTCGAGCGCAGCCACACGCCCTGCAGAATACGAACGACATGTATGATGGAAATGGCAAGATCAAACGTCGTCACAACCTTTACAAGGTATGCTCGGCACTGGCGACGCCCCAAACGAAAAGCTTTGAAAGCAGCTACTTCTGCCCCCAGTGCACTCAATCCCACGACGGCCGCGTACCTCTATGTAATCGCGTTCGGAGAGAGGATAGCGGCAACACACTCACGTGCAGCCAGATTTGGCACCAGGTCTGACGAAACGGAGCTGCGATTCAAGCACACCTGAAGAAGCGCATACGCTTTCGCAAGCGTAAGCGCGCTGACGAAGAGAAAGAAGACAGTAGTGAGCTAGCTAGTAGTCAAACCAATAGACTGTTCGCTCGCCAAACGTTTCGGCCAGTTCAGGCCTAGTACTTCTTCTACTCTTGCTAGTCTAGAACTGGCCGAAAAATTGGTGAGCGAACTTCTGCCGCGTAGCGATGAAGCTCGGACGGCCATGCGAAGCCGCTAATCTCACTTATCGTTTTGGAGGGGAAATACCTTACGGAAGACATTAAGTTCTTTTTTTCTGCAGCAGCCAATCAAAACCTCAGATAATAGCGTATGGTGGATACATTGTGAAGTTTTTGTCCGTAGAAACGATGTCTTTGCACTTTTTCGCAATGTCCACCTCACGATTCGCGAGACAGCTACCACCATATAAGTTATTGCATTCTTCTGTCAATATTTTAATCAAGATAAATCTTTATTCTGTATAATACAGATTAAAACCCCGCTTTAAAAGGGTTAAGCTGCAATGAACATTTCTATTGGTTTAAAAGCGTTCCAGGCTGAAAATTTTAAATTAATAAATTAATCGGCTAATTTTTAGGAAGTGCCTACGCTCACCAACTATTGTGAGCATAAAAAAGTATCTTGTGATACTGATATTCGATTTTTGAAAATCAAATTTTGGTATTTTTGAGCGGCTGGCTCCATTCGCTCGAGTCCCCTCGAAAGGCAAGCCGTTACAGGCAGACAACCCGTTGGTACGCGCACGATGTCTGTCGTGACACCGAAGAAGAGAAAACACGGCGACAAACTCAATGAAGAGGCTGAGGAGCCTGTGCAGGCGTTCCCCCCCTTCCAGGGCCTAGAGAGAGAGCTTTCAAGAAGCGTTTAACAGGTATGCTTATACTTAATATTGCTAAAACTGTAGTTTACAGGGATTCCTAACATAAGCTTTTGCTTTTAACAGCTATCAGAGGGACACACACCAACTCCACAAAATCGGCTCCACGATTTCCGTCAAGGAGCGGAACAAATCTCGGTCCAAACAAGCTGCGCTGAGTGGGTCTACGGCAGAGTTATGGGACGAAGCACTTGGCAATTACGCAATGTACTTCATTTGCACGCATGGCTGGTATTTCAAGCCAAGGGGTAAAGGAATACGTACAAACCACATCAACCGCTCGATCAAGTGTCCAGCAAAGCTGAGCACAAATTTAGTAAGGGGAGGGATGGACTGTTCAAGATTCGAGTCTCGACGCACTACGCTGGACATAATCACGTCGTTGGTTCGGACGTATACTATTCGAACTCCGAAGCGCGTCAAGCTCACTCCCCCGGCACGAAGAGCGTTGTAAAAACACTCATTCAAGGTAATCATTTCGATGCAATTTGTAGCATTTCTTATGTGTCTTAACCTTTGCAATTACACGTAGGCGTGTCGAAAAATAAAAAATTCTAAGGTAACTCAAGGAAGTTTCGGGGAAGCCAATAATACCTAAAGATGCGGAGAACCTTATCGCCAAGATGAGGAGAGAAACGTACACGTCGGACGATGATAATGTGCGCGTCTCGCAGCTTCTCAGAGATTTCAGCGAGGGTACCGGAAATGCTGTCAGCGTCTTCAGGGATAAACATACCAGTCTGACGTCATGTATCACGTTTCAAAGAGGCGCATGACTCGCAAATTTCCTGAAGCCGTCTGTATCGATGCAACGTACGGTACTAACCTCAATCGGTACGAATAACTGGTGTACGGCTCTCCAACATATCTTGAATTGGTGAACTAATCACCAACCCTTGGCGTTTTGTGTGCTCATAGAAATCGCTTCTTAAGCTTCATGGTCACGAATGAATTTGGATGTGGTGCCTTTGCCCAACATGCTCTTGTTGATGGAGAGAGTAGATCGAATATGGAGTGTGCTGTGTCTGCATTCAAAGAGAGAAACCCTGCTTGGAGAAATGTCAGAGTGATTATTATCGACAAAGACTTCACTGAACAGGCGCTGTTGAAAGATGAGTTTCCAGACGCTGTTGTCATTTTGTGCCATTTTCACGTCATTGATTACTTGAAACGAGATATAAGTAAGAAGAACTATGGATTCACAAACTTTGAGAGAGCTCACGTAAAAAATCTGGTTACGCTGATGGTTCGTGCGGGCTCAAAAGAGTCTTTTCATCATTACCTCGCCGCGTTGAGGCAGTTGTGTGGAAAGAGGCCTGCGTTGATGCACTACTTCGAAGTGAGTTGGTTGAATTGCAAGGATTTATGGTGCATGTTCAAACGTGGCGAGATTCCTCATCTCGACAACAATACGAACAATCGCCTAAAAACCAGGTTGGGGTGCCGCCAAAGACATTTTAAATCGGCACATGGCAATGGACGAATGTATTGACCATCTATAGCTCCTGCAGCAGTCTGCGGAAGATGGATAGTGGGTGAAGGTACGCCGTATCGTCTGCCGGTACAACTATCAATACGATGATGAAATTTAGCATTTTGGCAAAGCTGGCTATGCGTCATGCATGTAATTTGGTGGAGGTAGAGTATAACCTTAGTCAGCAGTTAACGTACCATGTATCATCAGATCAAGAAATATCCTCATTTGTAAGTCTGGCACGCGAGA